TGCCTCGGGCGCCATAGACCTCCATTATTTGAATGTCAGCAGACCTCCCAGATCTCCAGATGCATTTGAGATATCAAAAAAGTACTCCAGAGTGTTGTTCAGCATGGGGGTGAGTAGAAAATGAAGGCTAATCATGTTTTGGGTGTACTATTCCTTTAAGGTCCTGATTGCGACATAATCTACTGTTGACAACTCTAAAGTGTATGAATACTTTTGCATGGCTCGATATTAAAAAAGAAAAAGTTGAAATCTAAAATGAATGTAGTTTTTTTTTTGTGATTTCAGGGGGGGTTCTGCATTGAAGCGGGCCGTCGCTGTGATTCAGGAGAAGGGGTGTTCACCTTCCTGACCCCTTCTGGTCCCCAGATCTTACAGGCCATAATGAGGCTGTGTTCCCTACAGATGAAAAAGACTGTCCAGCCCTCCAGTGTCCAAAAAAGGTCATCGCTTGACATGTCCTCTCATGCCCTTCCTGCCGCAGCCTCCCACACCGCTGCTCCTGCGATCTACAGTGTTGTTGGGGTCCGACCTAACATGGAGGACGATCATGCCTGCCAATACTCTGCGATTAATCTCCCCTCTGCTGAGAGTATGAAGAATCTCTGCCTTATCCAGCCTTATCTCTACAGCAGCAAGGAGGATGTGGGAGGGGAAGGTGTGGAGGTGGAGGAGGAGGAGGAGGAAGAGGAGGAGGAAGGGGAGGGGGAGGAAGATGAAGAGGATGATCGGTGTCACTCCCTGGAAGCTGTAAATCAGGATAGCAACTTGGAGGATGACATTTATTACAACTTGAGGAGAACCTCTCCCTCTTTGATGAAAAAAACTGCGCTGGAAGATTTGGATTGCAATTACAATTCGACAGAAGACTTCCCTTCCTCAGATCCCTTTCATTTACCCCTGGAGATTTCTTCCTCTACCCTCGGCAATGCAGACCCCTTTGCTTCAGCAATGCAGCAAAGCATGCATCTCCCTCCAGCGGATAACCGCAGCTGTGCAGCATTCAATGCACAGGCAGTGGATGACATGAAGGACCCAGAGGAGGAAAACCGCTCCACTGTCTCCACGACCCCCACCAAAGCTCCTGGCAGTTTCAAACAGAGGCTGGCAGAAATCATTTCTAAGGACCTGGCAAAGTTCCAGCCTCCTCTTCCCTATGGAGCAGGCAGCCCCATGTTAAGCCGTCAGCTTACAGACTGACTAAAAAGAGCAGTTTCATAAATGATAAACTGTCACGCAGCATAATTAGTTTCTTTACAGCTCTAAAAATCCCTTCCACTGGGAGCCTGCTGTCAGTCTGCCTTCTTGTGCTTGCAGATGTGTTTATTTTTTATTTTTTGGAAAGCACTTTTTGGGGGAAATTGCAACAGCAAGATGTGAAGTAATATCTGTTTTATCCTTTGCAGGTTGGATATTAGAGAAGCTTTGTGCATTTGCACTGTAATAGAAAGCAGATGACTTTTACCAGATACGGTGCCTACAGTAACTCTTACATATGTTCACATTTACAAACATAGCTTTTAATTGGAATTTTATATAATAGGCCATCACAAAATAAAGCAAAATTCAAAGTGGAAAAAAAATAGCATTCATACAGTGACACCCGTAAATAATAGGTTAACAGCAGCCTGAAGGCACATCATAACTTTTTAGGAGCTAGAGAAATAAAAAAAAAATATATAAACAAAAAAAAAAACGTGTTTTGTGGCTAGTTCAGCAGGTTCAGACATGGTTGTAAGATTGATGGATCTAAATGCAAGACAGTCTTTGAGGAAAGCCAATTAAAGGCAGCAAAAGGCATGAGACTGAGATGGAGGTTCGCTTCTCATCAGCAAGTTTAAGTATAAAACCAGAACAACTATGGAACTTAAATCAAAGCATATTTTTAATAGAATGGCCTAGTCAAAGTCCAGGCTGAATTGAATTAGTAAAAATGTAGATTTTCCATCTAAACTGACTGAACTTAAGCTTTTTTGTAAGACAGAAATTTCCCAAAAGATTTTCTAATTGCTGCTGGGTGGTTCTACAAAGTCACATCTGTGTTGATCTATCTAAAAAATCCCAAATAGATACTTTCAATTTTTTGTTATAATGAGTAAAAGCAGAATATGTTTGAATACCATTGCAAAGAGCTTACTTCTTTTATTTAAAGAAATGTTGTAAATGAATGATTATTGTATTATTTTCTCATAAAACATGGTATGTTTACTATTATATGTAATGTTTTAAAGCATTTTCTGGTGAGAATTTATGCATATATCTGGCTTGCAGTCATTTATACAAAAATAAATTAAAATGCACACGCAGTACTTCATTAAATCTTTATTGTAGCAAAAACATCCCTCATAAAATACACATAAGCTATTCTTAAATAGAAAAATACTTGTTTTATTTAGAAATAAAAGCTAGAATCCAACCAGTAACTCTGGAAAATGCCGCTACTTGTTGTTCAGGACCTTAAAGTGCAAATAAAGACCTTTTTTAGTTCATTAAGAAGAAACCAAATCAGGATCTCAGAGAAATGAGAATGAATGAGTGTCCTTCACTTTAGAAATCCAGCAGTGCATCATCTAATCTATCAGAGGTGACAGCTGTTCTCCACTGCCAGATGAACATGTGGGAACCAGTGAGAGGTAACTGGTTTTCTGTCACTGTCTCCCACTTCCACTGTCCTCCATGTCGCTGAGATTTGAGGATTCATCATCGCTGCTGTTGGAGGCCTCTGATTTATTTGACTCTAACAGAGATGGAGGTCTGAGTATGATCAGGTGGTTGATGGATGGGTCTCTCTGCTGCTGCTCCTCTGCGTTCAGCAGGATTGGAGGCTGCTCTGCCTGCTCTGGTCGGAGGGATTGAATCAAACTCCTCCTGGAGGTCTTATCTGCAGACGCTGAGCGGGGGCCCCTGGACTCCTGTTGAACCACGCCGGACAGGAGCTCAGACAGCTCCGTGATGTAAATCTGCGCCATTTGGAGGGTGTCATACTTTGATAGCTTCTTCTCGTTTTCCAAAGATGGGATGACGCTCCTGAGCTCGTCAAAAGCTTTGTTCAGACCGTGCATCCTCCTCCTCTCCCTGGCGTTGGCTGCGACCCGCCGGTGTCTCTGGGGCCCTAAACTGCCCCCCCTGTCTCCATCAGATGCCCGTGCGTGGCCTGTCTCCGTGGAAGCGCACTCGTGGATTTTCCCCACCGGCCCGAGTTTCTCCAGTGAAATCCCCGCCTCCGCTGCAGCTTGCGCTTCCCTCCGCGTAAAGGCGCGGACCGAATTAGATGAAATCCAACTTTTTGAGCTGATGTGAGCCAAGTTTCTCTGCTGCAGCAGGGCAAGGTCCTCCGGGTACTCTGGCCAGCCCGGAAGCTCTGCTTTTGCGGTCATCGTGTGCGGTTGTGCGCTGCAGTGGAATTACGCACAGGATTCCCCACTACTTTGGAGAGGATAGCTCTGCGCCAAGCATTTATAGAGCCTCCCCTCAGTCACCTTGCTGTCACTCCCTGCCCATTGACAGCCCTGCAGCCTCAGGAGACAGCAGCCTCTGACCCTGTTGGAGAACAATCAAACAAAGCTTGACTTTTTCTCTCCCATTGTGCTTTGTAACTCAATCACGACCTTGTTGTTATGCTTACACATGAGGGGCGCTGGAATATTAATCATTCAGGAGCGTGCAGAGCACTGGAGGTCTAAATAGAGAAAGAAAAAAAGGCAACCTATCTCTATACTGCAATGAAAAAGATACACACTCAAATATTTTTTCAGGAAACAAAGTTCTGATGTCAAAACACATTTTGCTGAGTTGATCAGCTTTTGAACTTGGACTTCACCTTGATTGAAGTTTTGAAATCACTATTAATTCAACTAATTGACTGGTGCAGCTAATTATGTGACAGATTTTATTCTTAGCAGACCTCAAGTAAAATAAAACTCTAACTAATTAAAATGAACTAGTATAACTTACAGATTATAGGCCTCATCTAAGAGAGTTTTTATGTAAAAACATTTAATTAATTTTATTTTATACCACCCATTCAAAACACACCAACAGAAGGCACTTTATTTAATAAGATCATACAGTCAGATTGGTTCAGTTTTCTGAGGAGAACTGATTGCCTCTCATATGCACTCACATGCATACGGCGACAATGGAGAGGAAAACCTTTTCCTCTCTTAGACTTTTATGCTATAGCTTCAGGTGCAGAGGACGTTAGGAATAATGAATGGAAAAAGTGAAATCCTCAGATAATTCAACATTTACTAAAGTTGCTTTTTAAGTTGGACACATTTTTGGTTTATTCTTTAGGCTCTACCCTGCTGCTCTTTATTCCTGCTAATTTCAGCTTAAATTGGAATCAATATAAAAATTAGCGGAATGTGTTTCTGTATAACCAGGTGTGTAGCTAGTTTGGTTTACCTTGTGAGTCCTCTATTGTTAAAAACAAACAAAAAATAAAGTTTAGACAGTCTTTATTTGATAAGTGTTTACGTCATAAAGTGTTAATCAGTCAAAAAGGTGGTACAGAATACTTTCACCACAGACAACCAAGCTTTAAAGATATAGAGGATAATCTTTTATTTCCGGGTGGATCATCTAAATAAGTGGTCCTCCCAATTGTCAATCATTCTGGTGATGCGTTTACGCAAGGCCCCTTCTATGTACGGTACTCTTTTTCTGTGCATGCGCATTTTCAGGCATATATCTGTGGTTTCAGACAGTCATTGAAGCTCACCTTTCTCACCGCGGTTTTTGAAAATGGCCGAGGGTGGTAAGAGAAAAAGTGTCTATGAAGTGTGTGAGAAAAAAAAAAGAGAAAGGCATCAGAAGAGCAAATATATCCCCGAATTTATTGTGCAGAGAGCGCTTCTCGCAAAGCATTATGGGATTTGCTGTCAAAGTGGCGACTAATAACAAAGATGGTGCAGGCACCGCACGGTGGAGGAGGAGTTACGAGACCAACGGAGAAACTAACAGTGATGATCTGTCCGAATGGTAAATTTACTGAGTTCACTATAAAGTCCACTATATAGTCCCCACTCTATATAGTGATTGAGGCATTTAGGGTTTAGGGCGGATGTTCGGAAACAGTAAGCTTGTATGAGTGAGAACAGCAACTCTTAAACGGAGCGTGCACAAGGAGAAATCGGTTCTCACATGCTGTGACACACGCATTTTTTTTTTATCGGAGAGGGCGCGTCTTTTAAATAATTCGCGAAAATCCTCCACAATACCTTTAAGCCCAGAAAGCTATCTAGTCTGACTTAAACCTTGGTGCTAGCTGTTGCCACCTTTAAGAAATGACATTGTTCTAAAACAGTAGATTTATCAAATATATTTCACCAGGGTGACATTAATATATTTCCCTAACAATGTATAAAGTGTGATTTTTTTTCATTAGGAACATTTACTTTATGTTTAAGGTGTTCAGTTGGCTAGTTTGACGCTACCATTAGCACTGTTGCAGAAGTTAGCAAAGCAGGATACAAACTATTCTTTAACAGAGAAACTGTTACTACTGCAAGTCTTTCTAACAGTTTTTGACCTCTATAAATTCATAACAAAATAAATTAAAACATTTGCTTTTTTTCTTCCCTTTCGGGACAAATCACAGGATACATGAGAATAGGATATTCTGTTTTCTTTCTTCAAATGTTGGAGGATGAGCTACAGAAATAAAGTACTTAAGTCAGTATAATTTGCCATGAATGAAAAATTTGCATTTGTAAACTATTAAGTATTTTATGGCTAATATCCATGAACCTCAGTAGGCCTCAGCAGATGGCCGCTAACACTGAGCCTTTCTTCCTGTTAAAGGCAAGTTTTTCCTCTCCACTGTTGCTACAAGCATGCTTAGTGTGAGGGATTGCATTTACGTCAATGAGTCGATGCAATTAACTGGTTTTCCTTAGATAGAAAACTCTGAATCAAATTCACTGGAAGATCTGGTGAACTGTAAAGTGCCTTGAGATGACATTTGTTGTGAATTGGTGCTATAAAAATAAACTGAATTGAATTGAATCCAAAATTCTACAGTGTGCAAAATAATAAATGGGTGAACGTCTTTCAAAAAACTAAATATTTTTGCCGTATTGCAGTCGTTACTTTATTCCCATCAATCATGGAAAAATGAATCAGAGTATTTTTTTTTTCTCGGAGCAATAATCTGTTGGCTCTGCCCTCTGAGAGAAAGGGACCTAGAAGTAAATACATGCTCAAACAAACAGTAAAAAAATGGCCAATCTTCCCCTGATTATTTGCAGAAGAGTAATAAAAAGAACAGGTGGGAGACCAGGCTGAGACACACCTGTCTATACAGCGAACCATGATAACTGATAAGTGGTCTGATAAGTTGTCTCAAGGCGATTTATGAATCTTTTAGAGAACAGGATGAAAACATTCATAAAAAAGGTAGTTAGACCATTAAAGAATCAGGTTCCTGTTATACCGAAATGAAGATGTATTCCTTTGAAGGATGATAGATTAGGCTACAAATTTTAGTTTAAGTAACCCGGTTTCTTCTCTGTGCCTATCAGCTGGTGTCCCTTGGCACCTCTCGCAAGCCACGCACCTCTGGCGCACACGGTGTCACCCACATCTCCCATATGTTGCCAGCGACGCAGTCCAGCTAATCACTCATTAGGGCGTCAATTACAGCAGAGGAGCAGCTTCAGCACCAGCTCAGACCTGTCCCGCTGGGAGATCTCAGATCATGTAGACCAGTGATGGTGACTTGGACACGCTTTATATTCAGCCTCTTTCACCTCCCCAACCCCTGTTGAAGTGTATAGAGTTGGTGTTTGTGTGGTTCTGCGTGAGAGGAGACAGTCGGGGTCGGGCAGTGTTAGTGAAAATCACCGTGACCTGCCTCGCCGCCAGCAGTTTAATGAGGCCTGGACTTACTTGAATAAATCGGCACGTTCTTCTCCCGGGGAGTCCATTCATTTTCTTTCTTTTTTTTTATTATTTGGGGCCTGCATGAATATTTCATTCCTTCAGCAGCACTGCCAGCACAACAGCCTGTAACCCTGCGTGCAGGCTTTAAAAATGCGGCTACACTTCCCATCTGGTGCTGGGCGGGAGAGGGGGAGTGGCAGCGCAGGCAGAGGAGGTGTGAGGAACATTTCTGAGGTCAACTTGCACTGACCCTCTGAAGCACTCTGTGGCTCCTGTTTGGGCACTTCAGTTTGCCCTGTAACGTGGCAGATAGGTGTTTAATGCTAACCCATTTCAGGTTTAAGTGCCTACACAAATAAAAGCTAGGTTATTATATTTCAAATTATTCTAAGATGCAATAAAACATATATGTAAGATTTTTAATTCAATTCAGTTTATTTATATAGCACCAATTTAGAACACATCATTTCAAGGTTCTTTACAGAGACAATTCAACCAGATTGGTGAAAACCAGCTGATTGCATCACATCATTGACTTTGCAGCATTTACTTCTTCTGGATGAGCATGAAGAGGTGGTAGACGTTCGGTTTCATTTTGTCATCGTCTCTGTAGCAATCCCACACACCATGCATGCGCTTAGCGACAGTGGAGAGTAAAAACTTCCCTTTTAACAGTAAGAAATCTCCACCCGAAGCACTCAGTGTGAGCGGCCTTCTGTTGAGGCTGAAAATAGATTCAAGTAGAAAGAAGAAAGCATTGAAAAATAAGCAGATCTATAAAAAAAGAAATGGCTCCAAAGGTGGCTCTGTCTAAAAAAAAACAGTTCAGTAGATGATCAATGAGCCTGTTTTCATACCATGGATGGGATAAAGCACATACAGTTAGTCAGAGTAAAAGCAGAGCCTATAGCTATTTCTAGGAGAGAAGCAGGACTAAACACTGAAAAACAGGCTAAACTCCATCATCTATAATCGAAGGTGTTGACGGCAGCACCCCAGCTAATCGTTCTCTCCAGGATGGTGTTACAGCTAAGCAGAACCCAGAAGAAGCGTCTCTGATGTGACAAAGCATTGAGAGTATGACATCAGAGACTGAACTTACAAATACTGCAGAAGCGGAATGATGAAAAGTGGTCCTTATGTCATCCAGCAGCCTAAGCCTACAGCAGCATAAACATAGAGATCCTTTAGGACAACCTAAGCCCCTCTAAATATCAGCTTTATCAAAAAGGAATCTTTAAGCCCCACAATCGAGGAGCATGAAAAGATCTGCCTTCAATTCTACATTTAGAAACTCTAGGAACTACATGTTAATCTGCAGATAGAGAGCAAAGTGCTCTGTTAGGAACATAAGAAACAATAAGATCTCAGTTATAAGGATATAATATGTTCAATTCAATAATATAACCATTAATAATTTTGCTGCTGCATTCATAATGAAGCAGCAATAAAATTTATATTAAATTATCCATTTTATCATATCCAAAAATTTGAAATTGTTTGTGCCAAAATGACAAGTTTCTTTGTATTTGATTTTAAGGTTTTCTAATGT